TATATTATATTATATTTAATTACAATTTTTTAATTAATATTTTAATTAAATATTTACAATTCATAAATTCATTAATAATATTGTCGAGTCAACTTTTGTTCATAAAATTTTTAAAAATATATTATTTTCATTGATTTGCTTATGTTAAATCGAGAAAAGTTATGTTTTTTTAATTACAAATAGGGAGGATATAAGATTTCTTATATTTTTTATGTAGTATTTATTGAGTAATTGTGTTTACAATTTTTCTATTAAAAATATAATAAACACGTGAACTTTTTAGTTTCTATAATTTTGTTTTTCATAAATCACTCATTATTTTATCCCAAGATTACCTATTAATTTACCAATTGAGTTACAATTCTTACATATTAAATATTATATAATTAAAATATTTTTTGTTTTATCTGTTCATTATGGTACTTATATATTATATTAAAAAAACTATTATAGTAAATAAAAAAAGTTATTTAAAATTAGAATAATAAAGATTTTTTTTCCTAATCTATATGTATAAATGTACAAATAACTATTGTCTATCACCTCAAATATACACATAAAATTAATACGAACAAAAAACTAACAAGCGTTTAACAACTCAGTTCGATTACATCGATAAGTATATTTTTAGAAGGTTTATATTTAGTTATATTAATTATATTATTTTTGTTTATTAGTTTGTTTTATATTTATTAGTACGTGTCACAACTTAGTTATTTTTCATATTATTTATTATATTTAATATTTTGTAAAACTTTATCTTGTTTTTTCACATGTTCTTAACTATAGATTTGTCAAAAAAACACATAATATAAAGTATAGAATTTTTTCGATCATCTGCCTCATTATATATCAAATATTTGTATATCCTATATTATATTATATTTAATTACAATTTTTTAATTAATAATTTAATTAAATATTTACAAATCATAAATTCATTAATAATATTGTCGAGGCAACTTTTGTTCATAAAATTTTTAAAAATATATTATTTTCATTGATTTACTTATGTTGAATTGAAAAAAGTTAAGTTTTTTAATTATATATAGGGAGGATATAAGATTTCTTATATTTTTTATGTATTATTTATTGAATAATTCTGTTTATAATTTTTCTATTAAAAATATATTAAACACGTGAACTTTTTAGTTCCTATAATTTTTTTTTTCAGAAATCACTCATTATTTTATCCCAAGATTACCTATTAATTTACCAATTGAGTTAAATTTCCTACATATTAAATATTATATAATTAAAATATTTCTTGTTTTATCTGTTCAATATGATACTTATATATTATGTTAAGAAAACTAATATAGTAAATAAAAAAATTATTTAAAATTAGAATAATAAAGATTTTTTTTTTTTCTAATCTATATGTATAAATGTACATATAACTATTGTCTATCACCTCAAATTTACACATAAAATTAATAAAAACAAAAAACTAACAAACGTTTAACAACTCAGTTCGATTACATCGATAAGTATATTTTTAGAAGGTTTATATTTAGTTATATTAATTATATTATTTTTGTTTATTAATTTGTTTTATATTTATTACTACGTGTCACAACTTAGTTATTTTTCATATTATTTCTTATATTTAATATTTTTGTAAAACTTTATCTTTTTTTTCACATGCTCTTAACTGTAGATTTGTCAAAAAACACATAATATAAAGTATAGAATTTTTTCGATCATCTGCCTCATTATATATCAAATATTTGTATATCCTATATTATATTATACTTAATTACAATTTTAATTAAAAATTTAATTAAATATTTACAAATCATAAATTCATTAATAATATTGTCGAGTCAACTTTTGTTCATAAAGTTTTACAAATATATTATATTCATTGATTTACTTATGTTGAATTGAAAAAAGTTATGTTTTTTAATTATATATAGGGAGGATATAAGATTTCTTATATTTTTTATGTAGTATTTATTGAATAATTGTGTTTACAATTTTTCTATTAAAAATATATTAAACACGTGAACTTTTTAGTTCCTATATTTTTTTTTTCAGAAATCACTCATTATTTTATCTCAAGATTACCTATTAATTTACCAATTGAGTTATATTTCTTACATATTAAATATTATACAATTAAAATATTTCTTGTTTTATCTGTTCAATATGATACTTATTTATTATATTAAAAAAACTAATATAGTAAATAAAAAAATTATTTAAAATTAGAATAATAAAGATTTTTTTTCTAATCTACATGTATAAATGTACAAATATCTATTGTCTATCACCTCAAATTTACACATAAAATTAATTAGAACAAAAAACTAACAAGCGTTTAACAACTCAGTTCGATTACATCGATAAGTATATTTTTAGAAGGTTTATATTTAGTTATATTAATTATATTATTTTTGTTTATTAGTTTCTTTTATATTTATTAGTACGTGTCACCACTTAGTTATTATTCATATTATTTCTTATATTTAATATTTTTCTAAAACTCTATAATCTTGTTTTTTCACATGTTCTTAACTGTAGATTTGTCAAAAAGACATAATATAAAATATAGAATTTTTTTGATCATCTGCCTCATTATATATCAAATATTTGTATATCCTATATTATATTATATTTAATTACAATTTTTTAATTAAATATTGACAATTCATAAATTCATTAATGATATTGTCGAGTCAACTTTTGTTCATAAAATTTTTAAAAATATATTATTTTCATTGATTTGCTTATGTTGAATTGAGAAAAGTTATGTGTTTTAATTATATATAGGGAGGATATAAGATTTTTTATCTTTTTTTTATGTAGTATTTATTGAATAATTGTGTTTCCAATTTTTCTATTAAAAGTATATTAAACACGTGAACTTTTTAATTCCTATAATTTTTTTTTTTTTACAGAAATCACTCATTATTTTATCTCAAGATTACCTATTAATTTACCAATTGAGTTACATTTCTTACATATTAAGTATTATATAATTAAAATATTTCTTGTTTTATCTGTTCAATATCATACTTATATATTATATTAAAAAAACTATTATAGTGAATAAAAAAGTTAGTTAAAATTAGAATAATAAAGATTTTTTTTCTAATCTACATGTATAAATGTACAAATAACTATTGTCTATCACATCAAATTTACATATAAAATTAATAAGAACAAAAAACTAACAAGCGTTTAACAATTCAGTTCGATTAGATCGATAAGTATATTCTTAGAAGGTTTATATTTACTTATATTAATTATATTATTTTTGTTTATTAGTTTGTTTTATATTTATTAATACGTGTCACAACTTAGTTATTATTCATATTATTTCTTATATTTAATACTTTTCTAAACCTTTATCTTGTTATTTCACATGTTCTTAACTGTGGATTTGTCAAAAAAGACATAATATAAAGTATAGAATTTTTTCGATCATCTGCCTCATTATATATCAAATATTTGTATATTCAATATTATATTATATATGATTACAATTTTGTAATTAATATTTTAATTATATATTTACAAGTCATAAATTCATTAATAATATTGTCGAGTCAACTTTTGTTCATAAAATTTTTAAAAATATATTATTTTCATTGATTTGCTTAATTATGTTGAATTGAGAAAAGATGTTTTTTTTAAATATATATAGGGAGGATATAAGATATGATGACATTAGTATAATACCAATTTGCCATTTAAAACATGTGAAAGTAAGAGTTTTTAGGTAGTTCATTTTTTAATTAAAAATATAAACAAAATATAATGTGTATTAGTGTATTACTAATTTGCCATTAAATTTATGTCTAAGTAAGAGTTTTTTAGGCATTATGAATTTTTACAAAAGCACTCCTCCTTTTAAAGTAGTATAGATATTTCGCCATTTTTTACATAATAACAAAAACAAGGCACTAACAACTAGTCATATGTAATAGAGTATATAATTTCCTTTATATTCAGTTTAACACTTTTGTAATAAGTTGTATAGAAAGTGTGTTTTACCTTTCCTAGTTGGTTTCCTATTAGCACTTTTAGTATTAATAGGTATAGTATAAATAAGGGTTTTCCCCTCATTCTGTAACACTTTTGATTCTTTGAACCCTAATACACACACGCAGTTTTCTTCTTCATTGTTCATCGATTCTCTCTGTTCATTGTTCATTGTTAATCGATTATCTATAGATCTATAGATCTGATATGGTATCAATCTCTAGTTACTGATCCTTGATTTTCCGCTGCTTACACCTCTGATTCTGATTTCGATCGCTTCGCACATGGCTACCTCTATCAATCCGTCCGATGATCCGACATCGCCGTTTTACCTTCATGCCAGTGACAATCCCGAAGCATTGATCATCGCTGAAGTCTTCAATGGCGACAACTATCTCTCCTGGTCGCGAGCTGTGTCGATGGCACTCAGCGTCAAAAACAAACTAGGGTTTGTTGATGGTACTATCTCTGTTCCTAACCCTACTCTGGATCCTGTTGCCTCTCTTGCTTGGGTACGAGCTAATAATATTGTTCTCTCGTGGTTGTTAAACTCTGTGCACAAAGACATTCGTCAATCTCTGTTGTTCTTTTCTGTTGCTCAAGATGTTTGGGTAGAAATTAAATCTCGATATGCTCTTTCTACTGGTCCTCGTGTTTTTCAACTGGAAAAATCCTTGAGTACTATTAATCAGGCCAATCTTTCTGTCACCCAGTACTATAACTCGTTTAAATCCCTTTGGGATGAATATGTGACTTATCGGCCGATTTTTAAATGTCTTTGTGGTGCTTTCACTTCGTGCTCTTGCAATATATTTGAGGCTATGACCGCTGCTCAACACAATGATTCTGTTATGAAATTCTTGATTGGATTGAATGATTCTTACTCATCCCTCCGTAGTCATTTTCTGTTGTCTACTCATCTTCCCTCTTTATCTACTGTTTATTCCTTACTCTTGCAAGAGGAGAGCCAAAGAGCCTTGTCCAATAACTCTAAAAACATTGATTCCCTTGCTATGATGGCCAAAACTCAATCACAGTCCAATCATTTCCAGTCCAATCAAAACACAAAATCATCCAAACCACCCTTCTTTTCCAAAGACAGAAAAAGGCCTAAGTGTACTCACTGTGGTTACCTTGGTCACACTTATGAGAAATGCTACCAACTTGTTGGCTACCCTGCTAATTGGGTGGGTCCTAAGGGTCCAAGACACACCAATTCTCATTCTGCTAATGCTGCTATGTCTGATACTGTCAATATGCATAACAATGATGAACCTGTTGACAACACTCACACCATTACTGACAATTTGTTTAGTGATTTTTTAGCATTTAAAAAGTCACAGGAAATGAAACAAACTCAGTCTAACACTCCTGTGGTGGCTACTGCTCTTGCTCATACTTAAGGTATTTCTAACACCTTAGCATGTACAGTTCATAGAAAATTGAGCAAAAATACTTGGATTCTTGATACTGGAGCAACAGATCACATGCTTTGCACTCCTGACTTTTTTACATCATCTGTTACATCCACATCAATATTTGTAAACTTACCAGATGGAAATGCCACTAATGCATCTCAAATTGGCACTGTTTCTCTTACTCCATCACTCACATTATATGATGCACTTTATGTTCCATCATTCCAATTCAATCTCATTTCTGTATCAAAGCTTGCTGCTTCAAATAATTGTGTTACCAAATTTCTAGCATCATTTTGTATTTTACAGGATCTAACAAACCACAAAATGATTGGTTTTGCTGACTTGGTTGATGGACTGTACATTCTTCAATTGCCTGCTCATGAGCATCATTTATCATTTAATTCTGCACAATCCATATTTCCATCACCTGTAACTGTGTCACATATCACTACTCCCTCTTCTACTTTCAATGTTGATGATCCTGTAAACTCTTCTTTACCTGTAAAAGTCTCTTTACATGACAATGCTTTATGGCACTACAGATTAGGACATTTGTCCTTTTCTAAACTGTATACATTACCTATTGCTCAAAACAATGTGAAATCAATAAATGCTTGTGATGTCTGTCACTTTTCTAGACAAAAAAGACTTTCTTTCCCTATAAGTGTTTCAAAATCTGATAATCCTTTTGACCTGATCCACTGTGATATATGGGGACCATTCTCAGTCCCTTCTCATGCTGCATATAAATATTTTCTTACCATAGTGGATGATTTTAGTAGAGTCACTTGGATGTACCCAATGGTGCTTAAATCTGAAACAAAACAGCATCTCTTACATTTTTATAACATGGTTCTTACTCAATTTGATAAGAAAATCAAAGCCATCAGATCAGATAATGGCACAGAATTCATACTTCCTCAATTTTTCTCTCAATATGGTATTTTGCATCAAAAGTCTTGTGTTGAAACACCTCAGCAAAATGCTAGAGTAGAAAGAAAACATCAGCATATCTTGCAAGTAGCTAGGGCATTCATGTTTCATGCTCATCTTCCTTTGCATTTTTGGATAGATTGTGTTCTTGCTGCTGTTCATGTGATAAACAAGGTTCCATCCATTGTTCTGCACAACAAATCTCCCTTTGAATTACTTTACAACAAACAACCATCTTATGATCATTTAAGAGTTGTGGGCTGTCTCTGTTATGCTTCTACTTTATTGGCAAAAAGGCATAAGTTTGATCCTAGGGCATCCAAATGCATTTTTCTTGGATATCCACTAGGTTGTAAATGTTATAAACTTTACAACCTGGATACCAAGAAGATATTAATTTCCAGGGATGTTGTCTTTTATGAAAGTGAATTTCCTTTCAAATCCCCTTTGCCAGTAAACTCTCAGATTTCTACTTTATTCCCTCAACCATCTACAGAATTTATCTTTGACCCTCATACTCAAAACAATCTTACCAATCCAAACTCTCCTCCCAATCATCATACCACAGCAAACAGCTCACCATCTACATCTTCCCATGTCATTCACACCAACTCCACCTCTCAGACTTCTGTTGTGCCCTCACCAACAGCTCAAAACCAGCAAACATCTCCATCTCCTTCACTTAGAAGATCTACCAGAATCTCCAAACTACCTGCCTATCTCAATTTATACAACCATTCCTTACCCAATAAACATTCTTCAAACTGTGTCACTGATTCACTTTCAGACACACCTGGTACATCATCATATTATATATCTGATTTTCTATCTACTGCACATTTATCTATGCATCATAGTTGTTTCACTGCATCAATTTCTACTTTACAAGAGCCAAAAACCTACAATCAAGCTGTTAAAGATCCTTTATGGATAGAGGCTATGTCAAAAGAATTAAAAGCTTTAGAACAAACAAATACATGGACTTTAACTGCCCTTCCAAAGGATATGCATTGCATCAGTTGTAAGTGGGTTTTTAAAATAAAATATAAGTCAGATGGATCTATTGAAAGGTATAAGGCTAGATTAGTGGCCAAAGGCTATACCCAAGAAGAAGGGATAGACTATTTTGACACATTCTCCTCTGTTGCCAAAATTACCACTGTTAGACTCATTATTGCATTAGCATCCATCAAAAACTGGTTCATTCATCAGTTAGATGTTAATAATGCTTTTTTGCATGGTGATTTACCTGAGGAAGTATACATGAAACCTCCCCATGGATATTGTTCTTCCTCTGATCAGAGAGTTTGTAAATTGAATAAAAGTTTATATGGATTGAAACAAGCATCTAGACAATGGTTTCATAAATTAACATCATGCCTCTTACTGTATGGATTTACTCAATATGTGCTGATACTTCCATGTTTTTTATGTCTAAGGGTAACAGCTTTACTGTCTTACTAATCTATGTAGATGATGTCATTTTAACTGGCAATGACATGTCTTGCATCACTGCCATTAAAAATCATCTTCATGACTGTTTTACTATTAAAGATTTGGGGCAATTGAAATACATTCTAGGCCTTGAATTTGCTCATTCTGAAAATGGAATCCATATGTGCCAAAGAAAGTATGCACTTGACATACTTACTGACACTGGAATGTTGGGATGTAAGCCTGCTCATACTCCCATGGATGCTACTTTGAAATTGATTAAATGTACTAATCCTACTGATCTTTTACCTGATCCTTCTGAATATAGAAGATTAGTAGGCAGGCTTTTGTATTTGACTATTAGCAGGCCTGACATTGCTTATTCAGTCCAAGCTCTAAGCCAACACATTTCTGGTCCAACTCAGCAGCATCTCAGCTCTGCACACAGAGTACTCAGGTACATTAAGGGTACCCTTGGTAAAGGTATCCTTTTCCACAGAAATTCTTCCTTAATTATTAATGCCTTTTCAGACAGTGATTGGGCTTCTTGTTTGGACACAAGAAAGAGCATTACTGCTTATTTAGTTTTTATTGGAAACTCTCTTGTCTCTTGGAAGTCCAAGAAACAACCCACTATTAGTAGGTCTTCAGCTGAAGCTGAATATAGAGCTTTAGCTACTACTAGTTGTGAAATTCAATGGATAATTAATATATGTAAGAATTGGGTATTACTTTTGCTTCTCCTGCCTCAGTTTTTACAGATAGCAAGTTAGCTCAAGCAATGGCAACAAATCCCATTCTACATGAAAGGACCAAGCACATTTAATTGGACTGCCATTTGATAAGAGAGAAGATTTCTAATGGTGTCCTGCAGCTCCAACACATCAACACCAAGGAGCAACCTGCAGATTTTCTCACTATACCCCTACCTGGCCCTTTGTCCCATCATCTCCTCTCCAAGTTGAGCATGCCTAATATCCATGCTCCTCTTGCGGGGGGGTAATAGAGTATATAATTTCCTTTATATTCAGTTAAACACTTTTGTAATAAGTTGTATAGAAAGTGTGTTTTACCTTTACTAGTTGGTTTCCTATTAGCACTTTTAGTATTAATAGGTATAGTATAAATAAGGGTTTTCCCCTCATTCTGTAACACTTTTGATTCTTTGAACCCTAATACACACACGCAGTTTTCTTCTTCATTGTTCATCGATTCTCTCTGTTCATTGTTCATTGTTAATCGATTATCTATAGATCTATAGATCTGATAATATGCATAAAAGAAATACACCGATGGAGTACGTAGTACTTATATATATGCAACAAAAATTATCTATCATTAATTAACCTATGTTTGGTCATGCGTCCGTCAACTTTATGTTACGATGTTCAGAGTTGAAGTATGTATTGTAATTATATTTTCCCCTATAAATAGAAACTAAAAGATAATGTGATTTGTTTTACAATGTTAACTTTTCATCAGCTCACATCTTAAACATTATACATAGGAGAAGTCAACTCGATCGCGTGCATGCGTACCTTAAACCATTGTATCTCGCGTTGCATCTGTAGGGCCGCACCAGAAACAAGATTGAGCTTGTGCGGTGGGGCCAACCTTGCAACCAAGTGCAGGGGCGTGTTTCCATAAGCATCCTCCAACTTACTAAACTCAAATTGGTTATCGTTGAAGATCTGGTAAACCTCGTTAAATATCATTTCACTTCGGTTCTCAACAGCAGTGAACATGGCGTCCTTGTAGATTTGGACTGTCTTGCTGAAACTTGAGCCCTTCAAGCATTTGAAGAGGGACTCAACGAGAAGCACATGATCATTTTTTTTGCAGTGATGAACTGAGCTATTCTTGTCTTTGGCCACTACAATAATGGTTAGAAAGAGAATTTATAAATTTATCTATATGTATAAGATAAGTATATATAAGAGAGTAGTGTTGGAATGTCTAAAAAAGAAGATCGCCCTTACCAACAGTACATTTGACAGACAGAAAAAGTAGCATTATATCAAGAAAGATTTCATAGTTTTCATGAAGAAAAATCAGATATGAAAATTGATAGCTGAATGAATGATAATGTAGTACCAATGGCATAATTTCAAAATTGCTCCTAAAATTTGACCACTTTTCAAAAAACCACCCCTATATTGACCACTTTCAAACTTGGTCCTATAATTTGACATTTTAATCAAATTGCCCTTTTGTAATCAATTTTGGTCCTATAATTTGACATTTTGGTCCTTTTTTAATCACATTTTAATCCATGTTCTGGATAAAAAGGACCAAATTTGATTAAAATGTCAAATTATAGGACCAAGTTGAAAGTGGTCAATATCGGGGTTGTTTTTTGGAAAGTGGTCAATTTATAGGACCAATTTTGAAATTATGCCCAGTACAAATGGCGGCTGCCATACTCTCTTATATAATTGTACCTCTCTCTTCAAATTATAAAATGATTTATAGCATTTTATTTAGGGAAAAAATCTTTTTCACCCCATAACAAAGACACATTAAGTTTTTCACACCGCCCAATAAAAAACTAAGTTTTTCATCCCACAAAGTGCGAAGGTTATGCGAAAACTGTCGCATATTCATCGCATAACTGTCCATATGCGAAGGTTATGTGAAAAACTGTCGCATAACTATCGCATATCAATTGCATAACTGTCGCATATTCATCGCACAATGCCTTCGCACAATTATGCAATTGATATGCGACAGTTATGCGACAGTTTTTCGCATAACTGTCGCATATCAATTGCATAACTGTCGCATATTTATCGCACAATGTCTTTGCACAATTATGCAATTGATATGCGACAGTTTTTCGCATATCCTTCGCATATGGACAGTTATGCGATGAATATGCGACATTTTTCGCATAACCTTCGCACTTTGTGGGGTGAAAAACTTAGCTTTTTATTGGACGGTGTGAAAAACTTATCAAGACTTCAAAACGGGTGAAAATAAATATTTTCACTTTTATTTATCCATCATTAATTACTTTTTATTTATTTTTATTTTCAGGCATCAACACTTTTGATCCTATTTTGTTTAAATTTGATATTTATTTAATATGACTTAAGTAAGATGAATCAAAATTTTTAGTTAATTAATATTTCATGTAAACATAGCGGATCATCATGGTTTTGCTATGAAACCCAATTCAGTTTGCTCTATATTGGAGCTAACCTTCTATGTACAACAAGTAGATCATACCATATTAATAATATTATATTAATGTTATTTAAGTAATCAAAAAATATGGTAAATTTACTTTTTGTATATAGAAGGTTGGCTTCGTACCAAAATTGCTCTTTTTTATGAGGAACAAAGTTGCATACTAAAATTGGATTTAGGTCAATATAGAGGACCAAAATTAAAATTTTGTTTTTATTTCTAGGAAAGCATATGACATTTTAGATTGTTCTGTAAATATTATTTACTCTATGTAGCATATAAATTTAAGGTATTAATGTATTTATTGTAATATATATGACAATACACCATTTTTAATTAATTATGAATGGTTCTATAAGTCCTGCCCCTAATGTGATTTGCAACAAAATTAAATAAAAAAAATTACGAGTCGAAGTGTTGCTAAATAAAACTACTACTAATTTACTTATGTCAATGTGTTTGACCAAAAATACTCATTTGAAATTGCAATATGACTCTTTGTTCACATATATATTGTATTCTTCACATAATAATAATAATAATAATAATAATATTAATATATTTATTTGTTGTTTTGTACCAATATAATTTAAACAGGACAAAGAGTTTGGTTCGTTACAAAATAATTCTACCGTCACCATCATTATTTCATCAGTCCGATACAGAGTATGATTTCAAATAAAGAAAAAATTTGAAACCATATTTTTTGTAACGGCGAAGAAAAATTAGTTTTATTTATTTATTTATTTATTTATTTTTTTGAAAATAAAAATTAATGTACCAAATTTTAAAAAGTTAGTAACTAAACATGAAAAACAACATTTGAAAAAAAAAAAATGAAAAACAACAAAATCATTGAACTAAAATTACTTAATTTGTAATGTTTAGGAATCAACTCTCACTTACACAGGAAGCATTCCCAAAAGCTGAAACGCTTTCTGTCAGCATTGTCCTTGAGCGCTAGCTTCTGAAAAATTGAGGTGCCGTCTCTGAGTTCCATGTAAACCAATTGCGGATTTGTATCAATCAATCCTTGAGCCACATCTGAAGGAATCGAAAACACATGCATAAATAATTAATCAAGTCGAAAACGAGAAATGAAAATGAGGTATACGTAGCAGAGATAGACGACCCACAAAAATGCTCGGCATCGATCGCCATACACAGGAGCTTGAAACCTGTCTGAGTATCAACAACATTGCCCATTTTCCCAAGCAACAACCAAACAGACCCCTCCTTGGCACCTTGGATCGCCAGGTGGATCGGCAATTCACCATTGTTGTTGCGCACGTGCATCAGATCGCTGAACTCATCCAACAGGAACTCGGTGGCTGAATCGTTTCCAGTCCAGACCGCTGTATGTAAGGCATTTTCACCGACGATGTTCTGGGCTTGCCATGTCTGCTCGGTCATTCTGTCACCTAGGAATCGAACGAAATCGAGCGCATAAGGTTTGTTCACCGACACGGCTAAGTGGAGACATGTGTCTAGTTTCTTAGTTTTTTGGTCTCTGATGGCCCGCGTATGTGTGATTATGTATTCTTTGGCCGCATTCCACTCCTCCTGGCGTATCATTCTCAGCAACATAGGCAACTGCTCCTCATTCTCAGTCTCCACAGCTAAATTAAATTTGACAACCAAAAAAATTTTTCTCTGTCAACCCAAATTAATTATATATATATATTGTAAGGAAAAGTTGGTTTTGTACCGATTTAACGATTCTATTTTTCTTAAGTAGAATGCTTAGAAAAGTCTCAAAACCTTTTTAAGGTGAATGGGAAATTAATTCTAAGTGTTATATTTTAATTAATCGAGTTTAAACAACTCAAAAGGTTGTAGGGTTCACAAACATTATATTTTAATAAATGTTTGGACAAGCTAAACGAGCCATAAATATGTATTATGTATGCTAGAATTGTAGAGGGGCTCGTTGGGGACAAGTAGGAGAAAACGGAACTCGATTCCGAGTCCGTATGAGCTCGTACGAGCCCGCGACGCATGGGCGCACAACTAGCTGCGGAAATCGAAGGGTTGCAACCCTTGATGACCATAAGGTATCTTTTGGCCACTAGATACATCCGTTCTTGTTCGGGCACGTCCCAAAATGTGTCTTTTGACACTTAAACCTCTTGGAGGTGTCTCCTTACATCTATAAATACCCACTAACATGAAATCATTCAGGACATCAAATAATTCCATAACTTTTGCATCATTTTTACAAAGTTCATATTCATCTTGTGTTCTTTGTGTTCTTTCCTATCTTGAGAGTTCCGAAACTTAAGTATTGTTCGCCGAAGGTTTGTGTATTTGAGTTACCACTATACACAAATCAAAAGTCGTTGTATCTTGGAGGCGTTAGCCGTGAACCGTGGATAATATACGGGGCTATTTCGTCTTAAGGAGTGCGTATCTTACGTGCCTCGACTTTGTTCGTTTTACCAAAATTCCTTCTATTTCTTAAGCCATTTTCTTGAAATTCACCTACAAAAACAGAATTTATAAACTACATATATATAAATATATATATATACTAATTGCACGTACCTTGTGGTACTTGTGGCGGAGGAGTATTAACCTCACCAAATTTCTTGTCGAGCTCCTCCCACACAACTCTGGCTGTGTCGAGATGGGCATGGGCCACCATCCTAACAACAGTATCGGCCAATGACCCGAGAATCCAGCCCAAAACAACTCTGTCTGTCCTCCACGCCACGCTATCAGCTTCTGGATTAGGCGGCGGGATAGTGCCGTCGATGAACCGGACCAAGTCGGTGGCCTCAATGAGGCAGAGTATTTGCCGTTTCCACGACGGGTAATTGTTCGACCGCTTGTTGCCGGAGAGCTTGACGGAGACGAAGTTGGCCACGTTGACTGTGGTTAGGTAGTTGGGGAAAGATTGGTCGGATGAAGCCATTGTTGCTTTGCTAGAGTCAGCCATTATTGCCTCTTGCTTAACTGTGGTTTTAGAAGCAGAGAACGTGGGCTATAATAATGGGCTGGGCTGGACGTACATTCTAAAACAGCACTGTTTTTTCCCCCCAACACACTACAATCACGTGTAATTTCTCTTTTTCCTCTCCCAATTCCCAGTGCCCCACCTTAAATATTAGTTTATTTCTTTCCCACATTTGATCATTAACAATTGTGCCTATAAATATCATGGGACACCCACTGTCTTTCATTGGTAACAGTTGGCTCCGTTACGAAGCCAACAATCAATTGGACAACTTCATGTAAGGCTGTCCCACAATACTTGGTATTTAGTGTTTGCTTGATACAATAAATATACAGATAAAATGAGAACATTTTTAACTTTACTATTTTTTTTAACTTAATTTTAATCAAACTTCACTATTCTCGATATGATCGATTTAATTAAATTAAATGATACCAGCGGCGGATCCAGAAATTTTCATGAGACATGGCAAAAAAATAGTTGAATTTTTTCTAATCATATTGCACAAAATACTTATATTAACAATCGAAATAAATTGTTGAAGCAATCTGGTCTTGAGGTGTTCCCTATTCATATTGACTTTAACTTCATGCTAAAAAATAAAATGGAGAATAAAGTATGGTTGTTTGATTTCGCATTTTTACTATTTTAATAAATATACAAAAAATATTTTATAAACACTTATCCTTCATTTTTTGTAATATGTTATAAAAAAAAAGTCATTTTGAAATAAAATTTATTAATATAAGAAAAACCTAAATGTCATCATTTTTGTTTCTGTATATTATAAAGAATTCCTTATGGATTATCCTCTTATTAGAGATTTTCATTGTCAACTACCTACACTTTGTAGTTCTATATGTTAATTTCTAAGCATTCAAAATAATCTGTATAAATATGAATTTTTATCTAGAACTTTTAAGTTCGAAAACTTTGCTAACTTAAATTGAAAATATATTTTAAAATTTATTATAATAATATTTATATTTGTTATCATTTTTTATGTATGATAAATTAAATTAGTCATATTTTGACGATCTATAATTTGACATTCATATCGTACATATAAATTAAAATAATTATATCTATTTGGTCTCTATTAGTAAAAATTTAAATATTTATTAATTATAATTAGAAATAAATAAATTTATCTGTCAAGCCTATTATATGGCATACATACTAAAAAAATTGTAATACAAGATAATCGAATTTGGCAGGCGAGTTGTATTATTTTTCAAATAAAAACTAATATTATTTTGTAAGAATTATTTAAAATTTTAAAATAAAATCTTGTATTTGTATTTTAACAAATATTAAATATAAATTTTTAATAAACACATGTTAACTATATAAATTGTGTACTTAGCACCAAAAATCCAGCCTAGGCAATTGCCTAGGCTGGCATATATGTAGATATGTCAATGAATGATATCAATCAATATTTTCACATCACAATAATTTTAGTTCATTATGCATCTGCTCACATAATTTAACTAATCATCACTTTACATCATCTTTATCATACTTTTACATCAAATCAATTTTTATTATTTTATTTTATATATTATTTTAATATAAAATTAAAATTTCATTAATAACTAACCATAATTAACTCTAGTTAATAAATCCAAACGAAATTAATAATCTTCTATCCGATTTCCAAATACCGCATGGTAGGATACACTGCCTTATTGAAGCGTCCAATTATTGGTGCCTTCAAATTGCGTGCCAGCTAGCTTGTTAGAATACAAGGATTGGTTTTGCCACTTTGGACCTGCATTTGGTGTTTGAAGGTCCCATCAATATGTTTTAAATAAGACATACCGTGTCCTTTTTATTAGGCATCCCCAATGGTAATAGTTATTACTAGATATATGGTCAGCTGACGTGAATGTGAAAGATAAGAAAAATAACTATTTTACACTATTGGAGCCACGTACTCTTATCACATGATCTTGGGCTACGTGAAATAGATAAGTTATTTGTTCGTCGTTAGTGACTACTCTCTCTCCTATTTTTCCCCTGTCAACGTCATAATAGTTAGCCAAATAGCCAACCATTGGGGACGCCCTTTAAGACATCTTTAATAGGGAGGTTTAAAGAGGTTTGTAAAATCAAACCCCCAGGTTTTGCTATTAAACTGAAGAGGTTCAAGGTTTAGAATTTCTAACCGGTGTTGCTTTTACAAACCTTCACCAAACCTGCAAATTAAAAAATAAAACAAAAGAAAAAGAGAAGAGAGAAGGGAGAGTAAAGTAAACTTCCTCATTTCTCTCCCTATATATTAATTCAAAACGTGTTGAGCCTATGTGGCAGATTCTCACGCTTCGAATGTTGACATGACGAAAATCTATGCTTCGTGATGTTGTTTTTATATTATTTTTGCTCTGTAGTTAAGTTTGGTATTAGACATAAATAACTTTACACATATATTCATTAACTCAACACTCATATTGTACATGGGTATTAGTACTAGTTATGGTTTATTTGCTAGTATGGTGCAACACACGCGCAAATGGAGAGTGGAGAGAGGGCCCAAGATTGATATAATTGTCCCCTCATTTTTCATTTATTTTGTGACCATTTTATATTAATAATTAATTTTCCAATTGTCCCCTCATTTAACAATAATTAATAATTAAATTTAGAAATTTCATATTATTTAAATATAATAATATTTTAAGTTTTAATAAACAAAATTATAGTGAACATGATAAATATAAAAGTATGATATTAACCTAACAATTGAAAAAAAAAAACAAATACTAACAATTTTTGTTTGTGAAAGAAAGAAGTTAAACGAGGTTGTTTGGTATAAAAAAAATAAATTGTACTCCAATTCAACATTATTTAAGTTCTATGTTTCATAATTTTTTTAAATAAAAATTTATATTAGTACATACTCAACACTGTATAATTATAAATAATTTAATATAATTATATATACTTATATTATTATTTTATATATATTTATGATAAATATATGAAATAATCACATTGAATAAAAAATAAAATAGTCTATCGTTTCGTAAAAAAAGAATAAAAAATAAAATAGAGTTGTAGTTTTAAAATATTAATAAAAATATAAGAGTGTATTATTAATTAAAAGTGGGAAACATGTGGGACTCATAAAAAAGAGGTTTATGGGGTTTATTGTTATTGTATGTTTATGAGTGTAGGAGTAAGAATGAGGTTTTGGATGATATGGCATGTTGGGAAGTGTAAAATGAGGTGTAGGAAAGTTTATGGGTAAAGATGCTCTAAATACCGCTCCTCAAAAAAGATAGTTTTACCCTTTCAATAAAAAAAAAATAAAAATAAAAATAAAAATAAAAAATTAATTTTTTTTAATTTAAAAATCAATTTGGAAGGGACATCTTCTGTGTATATTCTCCCAGCAATTGAAAAAAAAAAACTTTGTAAAAATCCGAAAAAATCTGAAATAAACCCAAAAAAATCCGAGAAAATGGCGAGACAATCCTCACGCACCAGGAAAGGATTCTCCAATTCACAAGTAATTTTTTTTAAAAAAAATTTAACAAATTTAGAAAAAAAAATCTGTCCGCCAGCCGGCGACTGCGGCCGCAGTCGAAAGTGCCGGCAGGCGATTGCGGCACAAAATGGACCAGCCGCAATTGAACTGCGATCACATCTCGTTTGGCCGCAATTTTTTGCTTCGGTCGGTCCGAACCAGGCCACTATACGCGGCCGTTTTTCAGCTCCGGGCCGCGCGCAGCCGCAGGCGGCTGGCCGGTCCTTTCTATGCCGCGCGTGGCCAATGTTTTTTGCCTTTTTTTAATTAAAAATGTTTAAATTAATATATATAATTTTTAATATATATATATTTTAAAAATAATTAAAAAATATAATAAAAAAATTATGTTAAAAGTTTGTAATAGTAATTAAATATGAATATTTAATAAAAAATTGAATAAAAAAAAATATTAATATTTATAAAAATTAAATTTGTATACTAATATAATTTGTAATAATATATATTTAAAATTGTATTAGTAATTAGTATAAATATGATACTAATTACTGTAGAATTATTTATACTACTATATTAGTATATATTAGTATATAAAAAAATATATTACTATTTAGGATAATTATTGTACATATTAACTACTATATTAGTATATATTAGTATAAAAAAAAATTTAGATTAGTATTTAGGGTAATTATTATAAATAATATTTAAAATTAAATTAATTATAATAGGAAAAATTTATATTATTATAAATTATTAAGTTATAGATTAGAATGGATTATCTTATAAAATAAAATTTATTGATATTATGTTACAAGTTATAAATTTATTAATATTATGTCAAATTTGTTAAACAATACAAATTACTATTACTGTGTTTGAAGTTGTAAAATTATTAACATATATCGTAATATATTGCAGTGGTCAATCGAAGATTTTGGAGGAGACGGTCTTGATTACGGATGTTGTTTCACCACAGCTGACCTATTTGATAGTTGTAATGAAGCTGTTGAATGGGCAAAAAACATTCTTTGATATGGGGTTTCGAATTGACCATCTCGAAACATTTAGATAATGGAGGAAACATGTTGAGGTGTCATCAAGGAGAACATTGCAGAGGCAGCGCTGGAAAAGTAGAAAATTTCGTTAATGCTGTTTTGAGACGTTCGAAAATAAAAGAGACCGTCTGCCCTTTTATGATAAATGTCAAATTTGAAGCACAATCCAAAAAATTATGTATCTCAGTTCCTTTAGATGACGAGAAGAGAACGCATAATCATGAGTTAGTTGTGCATCCCGAGGGTCATCGACAGATGAGCGGACTCAACGATTTATCCAAAGAGATTGTTCGTGATATGACTGCTTCTCAGGCGATACCGGCAGCAATTCTGGCTGCGATTCAGGAGAAAAACCCTGTGGACAACGCTACTCACCGACAAGTGTATAATTACAAAGGTAAATTGCG